CCCCTCTTTCTCCCAAATCCCCAACCACCCCGCTCTGTTCTTATCTAATCGCTCGTGCCGTGGTGGTCCGTTCACCTCTCGCCAATGCATGTGGGTTGCGCCGCTTCGATGGTTGGTGTACTCGATGGATCTGTCGCAAATACTTCAGGATGATAGTGGAATCATAGGGTTTGGATCGGGATATGATATGGGAAGTTCTAGTAGTCGTGTGTTTCTACCCAAGGTGCAGTGGTCTAAAAAAAAGGAGAGACATGTCTGTCTTATTCTGTCGACACTTGAATTCTTGCTGTGCTATTGTGGGCATCAATGGTGAAGCTTCTATTGCAGGCTTTTTCTGGAGTTATGTTAGTTTCTGCACGCCTCAAAATCCATATCTGTCTCATGGGATACTTGTTAGAAAACTCCATCCCGATTTTATTAGAGAATATATGCAACTGGTTATTGCTCGGAACAATATATATTTCATTTTTATGTGTGTGCAGGCTGAACTTTTCTAACCTGCCCTTGTTGGTGTATTAGTGTCTAGGGCACATCTAGATGTGCTCTAGTTATTGCACATCTAAATGAGTGAATCAAGCATAAAGAGAGAGAGAAAAAAGAGAGAGAAAATATTCACACGAATCTCAATGTAAGATCAATGACATATGACTTAGATGTGCAATACTTATGGCACATCTAGATGTGCTTTAGCAAAACTGTATTAGTAAACACTTAGATTGGGCATTAGAAAATCAGAGACCAACATTTGTTTTCGCTCAATGGAATACATTTCCAAGTGGATTCGGCTTTTATGTGACTCAGAAACTAGATTTTATTTTATTTTTTCTTGGGATTTATCTTGACATCCAAATAATTAAGGCCATAAAGGTTTATTACTAGCATTGAGACTTTTTACTCTTATAAGAAGTAGTGATAGAAAGCTGAGTTCTTCATTGAATGAGTGGGTTGTGAACTTGTGATGATTAGTTACCATTCTCATCTCTCAGATCCTTATTTCTTTTCATTGTTTCCCAACCATTGCAGGCATTAAAGATGCAAGTGATAAGAAGATCTTGGTTGACATGCTGTTCTGGGCTATTGACAACCCTCCGCCAGCGAATTATCTGCTAATCTCTGGTGATCGGGATTTCTCTAATGCCCTTCATAAGCTTAAGATGAGGCGGTACAATATTCTTTTAGCACAACCTCCAAATGTGTCTCAAACGCTTACTGCTGCAGCAAAGAGTGTTTGGCTCTGGAGAAGCCTTGTGGCTGGAGAACCACCATTAGCAGTGTCACCATACATAAGCAGCGCATCAAGTGGCAATAAGGATGATTTGGATACGTCAAGGAACACTGTTCCAAATTCTTCAGCAGCAGCACAAGATACTAACCCTCAAGTGCAGAATTCTTCTCAGCGTGATTATCAAAATGGTGGTAATGGGAAGGTAGATAAGCAATCCAAAGTGAAGCAACCTCGAAAAAATCAGACAGACAATGCATCTAAACCAGCAGGCAAAAAGGAAAATTCAGTTGATGGAGTTGCTGATAATTCCAAAGGAAGCACTGCTAACCAACCAAGTCAGCCTTCTACACCATCATCAAGTTCTTCATCTAGTCCTGAACGCCAGAATAGGGCAAAGGTGAACCAGACAAGTATACCTAAAAACCCACCCCTTTTCCTGCCTAAAAAGCCTGCAAAACCCACTAATTCCCATCAAAAGAGTGTTTCTCATGACTATTTTGGTAGTAAGAAGTCTGGTGTGTCAACTGAATCTGCACAGAAAAATGGTGCTCCTGATTCTGGCAATGGTAGTGGCCATAATCATTCAAAACACCATAACCAATCCTCTCAGCCGCCAAGACCACATAATCCAGTGACTCCTCGTCCTCACAATGGACCTGGTAATTTCCACACATCAAATTTACATAGAAGTAGTTCATGTCCACCACAAGCTCCACAAGGTGGGCATACTGGTGTTCCCACTTCACCATTGCAGTCCTGGCCAAGTGCTCCTCCTCCCCCCCATCATGTCCCGCCAGTTAATTATCCTGATATGAGTCGGCTGAATATTTCTGGATACCCAATAGGGGCTCATGACAACCAAGGTTCAAACGTCAGCTACCATCCAAACTATTCTGGTGCTGTTCAGCCTCCTTACAATAATTATAGTTACAGACATCCAACTCCACCTAATATATCCAGCAACATGCAAAATGCTGGACAATGGGGTGCAAACACTGGATGTTCGCAGCCATCTTCTGACTCTCAAATTCTTATAAGAAATATCTTAAGTGCTTTGGAAGTACTGAAGACTGAGAAGCTTGCACCAACCGAACAGCATATATCAGATTGTGTGCGTTATGGAGGTGCTAATCTACCACAATTTGATGTTAAGAAGGCTCTTGAAGTTGCCATTCAGCATCAAGCCATCGTAACGAAAAAGTTAGGACTTGTGTCATTCTTTCTGGGAAAAGGTGAAAATCTCTGGAAATGCGTGAATATAATGGATACCAATGCTAGGCACTCAAAAGAGACTCTAGATACTGTTCATAGGTACATATCTACCGCCCCTGGATGCTCTGCGATAAAGAACTCCCAATCAAGGTGAGATCCCACACCCAGTAATGTGTTGATTATTTCTGTATTTTTCTTGACTTTGTGGTTAGTATTTTAATTTTTATTTGTTTCTAGGTATCACGCTGCAACTCTCTTGAAGAAAACATGCTTGAAACGTCTTTCCCTTGGTGAAGTTCTTCAAGTTTTGTATATCGCAACCGATAAAATGAAGTGGTTTGTTCCTCACTCTTCAGGCTGGCAGCCTCTATCATGGAACGTGACAGTGGCTGATACTGCTCCAGATGCTAGTGGAAAATCCTAGCCTGGCTACATTTCTCTAATCATATCGGATGGACAATTTGAGATGTGGTAGTTGGTACAAACCCTCGAGAGGCTGTGGTCTGGTGAGGTTAGAACTAATATGGTGGCCCAGTCTACGTTTTGCCAATATTTCCGTTTCAGAATGATTATCGCGGGTAGTTTAAACTTGGTGTATGAGCTCAGGTTTCACTATTATTACTAGAATGGTACTTCTGTCGGTTAGTTTTTGCAATTCGAAGACATGGAGGGATACAGAAGGTTCATGATCTTTTGTTCAGGTAGTGCAACAAGGCCTGATTTTAGAGGTTATGATCTGTTCTTCCCCAAGTGGGCGTAAGGCATACCAGGAGTTGATTTCGAGCTAGCCTGCCGTGGTGGCTCCTGAAGCAGTTGCTATCCAAGGTGCTCAACGAAGCACCAGCATAGAAGCTCACTTGTAAGTCTTAAAATGCATGGATTGTTAGATCTTGTGGGTGGTTCGATTAACAATCTTGTACTGGGAACTTAATCAAAAGCTACCATTGCTATGGCTACTGGCACATAGCAATAGTCTGAAGATTGCATTTAAAATATGCCTTCAGCATAGTTTGCCTTGCCAAACTTGTCATGCTGTGTGTAGATACTGTCCCGGTGCTTGCCAAACTTGTCATTTGAAATGCCTTAAGCATAGTTAACTCCATGGCATCCTTTTGTTGCCTTTCCCTGCTGAGGAAAGGTTGGGAGTCATCCCATACATTGGGATGCTGGGGTGTCTTGTAATAACCATGATGACAATTACCTTCTGTGGTCAATGTAAATTATCTTTAGTTTTTGCTTCTGCTAGTGGTGATGGGTATCATGTTGATGTTGTGAATTGCATTGCCTGTGGTGATTGGCACCTTGTTCACGCCTTTTATAACGAGCTGTGGGTAGCTGACACTAGGCCAACTTTTATGTTCATCGTGCATGTAAAAAGATGCCAAAATGGTTTCAACATGACAAAATTTTCGACGATTTGTACCAACTAGTAAGTTGGCACGTGCAACCCACGTGTAATCTTTAAAAGAATTCTGAGCCTCCCATCTTGGTTGCCATCCATAGTAGCCCACTCTGCCCATTCACATGACATATGACATCTTTGCTCTTTTGTAGTACTCCTTCGATCCAAAACAAGTGTCGTGGTAAACTAAAACCACGACACTTATTTTGGATCAGAGGCAGTATATAGCGGACATATGTGCCACAATTATCCCTGACATTTGCCAAATTGAGATAGTATTAGTGAATGAATTAACGTCAACACTATATTTTATCCATGAATGGTTATTTATAATTGAGATAGTATTAATGAATGAATTAACGTCAACACTATATTTTATCCATGAATGGTTATTTATAACAGGTGATACCTAATATCACATGCTTATGGCTAATCCCGATCTTGACAAGTCACCATATGATACCACAAAAGAAAACCCAATCAATCAAAATAACATGAACGATAACTTCTGAAGTACTCTCTCCGTTCCTTTATATAAGGTGTATTTGTTTTTTGATAAAATTTCATAATGTAAGGTGCATTTCTTATAAAACCTCATAATTCCTTTTTTAGCCCTTCAAAAAAAGGAAAGTATCTCTCTCCCGATTGCCTGTATCTCTATTTCTAGAAGAAGAAGGAAAGCATCTCTTCCCTGATTGTGTGTATCTTTTCATTTCCTAACCTAACCGATTTACTTGCCACTAACCAACAAAATTTTAAAGTGTAATTTTGTTCTAAATTATCTATAGTTTGTTGCCTTGGTCACCGTGCCCAAAAAAATACACCTAACATAAAGGAACGGAGGGAGTATTTAATAACAGCAAAAGAAAACTACTAAATTAAACTTCGCATCAGGGTAACTTATGGTTCTTCTCGAGAATTAGAATCTCTGAATCATAAAAATCGACGTGGCTTCCTTAGAGATATAGCTCAAGTTTGTTAATGTAGTTCAAAGCAATGGCCTATTGAAAAAGTTTATACCGGAGCTCGTTTCAGCCAAGTTAAGTATGATTCCAGTGAAATCAATCATCTGATCCACTATTGTGTGCATAATGGGATTATACATAGAAGATGAAATTAGTGAACGGTGAGTACACACCTTTTATTTCACTGGGGCGTTCAGATATATAACTTGTGCTCACACATCTTTCTTCACCTTGCATGTCATCTATACCAATATGAAAAGACCCAGTGAGGCAGATCCAATAAATCTCGGTACATCCTGATCGTACCTCGCTGGTAATTTAAATTAGCGCACATCCTGATCGTAGCGGAGAAGCACCCGAATGACTATTTTGCATCTGCGAGATGTGTGTACAAAATCAGTGAAATCAGTATAATATGCATGAACATGGATGAGCAAATTTTAGGCAATGCAAATCACACTGGTAATGAAGCTTAAGTGCTAAATGCCTGCATTCAAATCGCCGATCAAAGAGTTTTAAACTCTGTTAACAAGCTTGATTTGCCTTCAGTTATCAAGTGTATACGGGGCTACTTTTCGGTTGATCGATCTTAGGTAAGTGAAACGTTAATCAGTACATCGCGTATGCCAAAACAGATAGCACACGTGAACCAATCTATGAAATGTAAAGCAAAGGTGAACAAAAGACAGTACAAATGAAAGACCTCTCCGGCCGTCAGGCCTGGCGGCGGTGTGTTTGAAGGTAGCACATCCCCTGACCGTGCGAGATGACGGGGAGATGTGAACTCACGGCGTGGCCGACGGCCGGCCCAGGCCAGGCGGTTTAGGCGGCGTCCCCGACGGCCGGCCAAGCAGTTTAGGCGGCGGCGCTGATGGCCGAGGCTAGGCGATCCGATGGGTGGGAGCGGCACGGAGCTGTGAGGGGCGGCGGCCCTGAAGGTGTGGCAGCTCGATCAAGGCGATGGGGGTGGCGTCCTGAATAGTGCGGCAGGTCGATGCGATGGCGGCGGCGTGCAGCGGCTCAAGGCTATTTGGGCGGCGCGAGGCGGCGTCCCCGACGCTGCGGTGGTTCCCTTCTATCCTGAACGTGCGGCGGTTTCCTTTCATGCGAAGTGTTCGTAAGAAAACAGACCAGGGAAGATAATCAGGAAAGAGAAAGTATTGCTTAGCGCTAAATGTGTTTAGTCGCTCACCATCAGAACAATAAGGACGGTTGGATGAACGCAAATGAATGACTGAGATTTATTGGATCTGCCTCATTGGGTCTTTTTATATTGGTATAGATATAGATATAGATGTAGTAAAGGATGTCCATGAATGAAGAAATTATAAGTAGGAACTATGGTCTGAATGGATCTCCGAACTCACACACTTGCTCCTAGAATATACGTACCCGCAAACAAATGGGAGTGGCGTTTCGGCTCCCAGAAGCATATGCTCCTGGGGTGAACAAAAACTCAACAAATAGGAAACAAACTAAAAAAACTATTTTGTGTATGTTCAATATTAGTGTTTGATGTGTTCTTCACAATTTTCACACAAAAAGGAACAGTTGTGCTTTGTCAGGAAAAAAAGACAAAGATATAGTGCTCTAGAAATGCCAAAAATTGGCACTCAATTATGGTTGCAATGCTTGGGCTTTCACCATAAAAATTTGCAAATGACATTTGAAAATGAACATTTGAATGTCTGAATTGTCTTGTATTTTCTTCACATCTGTAAATGTATTTTTGGCGCGTAGGAGCATTTTTTTTCGATCAGAGGGGCCACACGGCCCCCATTTTCATTACAAAAATGGAGTCACAGCATACGAATCAAGTTTCATACACATTCAACTTCTTTTGATGCCTAACATATGCATCATGAAAAAAAAACTACTCCTACATCTTGAGGCACTTCATCTGCACCTACAGGATGCTACAACATCTTGAAGCTCATCAACATCTTGAAGCTCATCAACAAAAAACTTCATTTTTGCATCAGGTGAAATAACTCACTACAACCTGAGATACCAAACTCTGCACCTACAGGGTGCTATAGCAAAAGAACAAGAGAGATCATCGCAAATGCTACATCTATCACCACTTGATCAACAGAGCCTCCGTACAGCAGGCCCCCAGCCGTAAGCACGCTTGAAGACGTCCCTCGCTATCTGGGCCAACCTCTTGGTCACTTCCTTAAGAGTTTTTTGCACTCCTCTTTTCTGTAGCACACCCCATGAATCCAACACGGAACATAAGGAGAAGATAATATCAGTAGGATCATTAGGTAAAGAACTTTGAAAGCAAGATTTATTTCTTGTTTTCCAGATCGACCATAATAAAGCAGCCGTACCAATAGCTATAACCACTCTATCTTTCCCAGTATACTTAGGAAGCCAATTCTGGCAAAAGTCAAAGAATGACAGGGGTGTTTGGGGATTTCCCAAAGCACTCCCAACTACATTCCAAAGAAACCGAGCAAAAGAGCAAGTGAAAAACAGATGGTCAATACATTCATTGGCATAACAAAATTCACATTTGTTGGTGCCTTTCTAGCCTTTTTTACACAAATTGTCCTTGGTCAAGATCCTCCCTTTGATAACTAACCAAATAAAAGCCTTAATTTTTAAAGGTACCTTCAGTTTCCACAGAAACTTAAAAGGGAACACTACTCTCCTAGCAATAATATATTGATAAAGAGATTTAACAGAGAACTGGCCAGAGCTGGTCAAAAGCCATTTGACTTTGTCAGGTTCCTCACTCAGAACAACCTGACTGCACATATCTAGAAGTTTATTCCACATATCCAATGTCTCCCCATATAAACATCTCCTAAATCTAATGCAGTTAAAATCTTGTTCAAATGCTTTAGCAACCGTAATGTTTTGATGGAAAGTAAGTTTGTACAAGCGAGGAAAAAGTTGACAGAGAGGCTTGTTGTGGATCCAAGCATCTTCCCAAAATCTAGTTTTACACCCATCTCCAACAATTCTCTGACAACAGTTGTAAAAGATATTTTTAACACTCATGATACCATTCCAGAAATGAGAGTTGGTAGGAGATGACTCACATTGAGA